GGGCGGCACGCTGACCTGCGAGCTGCAGGACTGTCCCTTCTGCGCCAGCCTCCTGGAGGACCCCGAGTTCGCCTTCAGCGAGTCCGACAGCTGCGGCTCTGACAGCAATGGTGTCTACGAGTTCACTCAGGACCTGCGGCATGGCGACCACAGAGACCAGCTCCAGCAGCAGCGGGGCAGGAGGAGGAGGAAGAAGAAAAAACCCAAGGAGAGGAACAAGGTCACCCGCCTGTGGAAGGCTTTCGGCTGCAAGCTAAAGAGGATCGTGGAGAGCAAGTACTTCAACCGGGGGATTATGATCGCCATTCTCATCAACACGCTGAGCATGGGCATCGAGTACCACGAGCAGGTGAGTGCGGGACTGGCCTGAAGAGCCCTGAGGTTTCAGGTGCTCACGGCACGGTGGCTTGGGGTGACTCTGTCAAAGCCATGCCAGAAGAGAAGCAAGGTTATCATGCAAGTTGGAAACACCAAATGGGGCTGAGGGCCTGATCCTGCAGACGTGTGATGAGCAGGAGCATCCTTCTGTGTGTGAAAAGCCTGGGAGGTAGCTGGCAGCACTGCTGAGGTGTGGAGAGTGTAGATGTGTGTGTTAGGACATGGCAGCTCAGAGCCCGACTGCTTAAGTTGTTTGCTGTGAATTATTCATATAAGCAGGAATTGTTCTGGTGGAAATTCCCCTTTGGTCTGATGGTGATGGTGCATAGCGGACCTTGTAGTGCAAATAACCCATGCAGAAGTTTCTTCTTTGATCCTGGATCTTTAAATAAAGACTTCAACTGTCAGGCAATTGTTGCCAAAAGCAACAAAGGGGAAAAAAAAAAGTTAGTTTCTCCCTGAAGTCTCCAAAACCTTTAATTTGCTCTCATAGGGTGCAAGGAGATCTTTCTTTTAAGTGTTTGGATGGAGGAAAGAGAAATCATGTTGCTCCCAGTATTAGTCTGAACATGGTGATGGCAGAAAGCGGTGCTGGCAGCTGAGGACAGCTTGTCCTTGTTGTTGGCTGATGGGAGCTTGAGGGGCTGTGCAATGGGAGAGGGAGGTGTGTCATCTGAGTATCTCCAGTTTGTCACTCTGGGGAAAGCTATGTTTTTCTGGGCTTTTCTTTCTTGGCAAAACTGGTTACTTTCAACTGTTTTCTCAAGATGTGCTCTGGAATTTCTTGTGCCACCTCTGTATCAGGTGCAGAAAATGCATCCCAGTGAGGCCAGGAGATCCTCATACTGATCTTCCGTGAGGTGGGTAGTCAAAGGTTCATCCAGTGCTCCCCCAAAATCTCCATGGCAGGATCAGGACCAGGTCAAGGTTATTTATAAAGCTATTCCTCCTCTCTGCCTTGGTCTGTCCGCTCAGGAGTGAGGAGGAAAGGCAGACAGAATAGCTTAGTCCATCCAAAGGCAGGATAAGAGGCTCTGCATTTTCTCCTCCACCTTTTCCCAGGATTAAGTCCTGCTCAGGACCATGGCAAACAATCTTCCAGCGTGCTGCTACTTTTTGTCTCTACTTGTGTGCTTTAAATCCCCATATTTTATGCTGAGACATATTTTCTTTCAGAAAAGCAAGTACTCAGCTAAAACACATGAACCTCAGCTGCGCAGCAATAAATTACTTCACACTTGCAGCAGAAAGTGTCCAAACCCAACAAAGAAATAGCTGTTGCTGTCAGCTTTCTGTCTGGTTAGTTGTTCCACAACAAGTTTTAAAATTAAGAAGTACACCTTGTCAGTAGTCTTTGAATAGACCGTTCACTCCCACAGCGGCTGCATTTCTGCATGGATACTCTTTTGTCAGGCAGATACAGCTTTTGTCAGTCCTTGGGTATTGCCATGATGGGTGCTGGGGGAAAACCTTAGGCAGGCTGCAGTGAGAAAGCCCAGGGACTGCATGGAGTCTGTCCACAATCACTCGTATAAGGTAAATTGTGATAATTACATCCTTGCTGCTAACAAAGGAAAACTGTAGCCGGCAGGTTTACATTGGATTTTACCTTGTAAAAGATTTGCTTAAACCACCTCAAAGCCAATGGCAATAAAGATTCTGAAGCTTTTGGCTACGGAGCATCAGACTCCTGCCAGCTTTGCTCACAGGCACTGCCCAGCATGGGCCCAATAAAAAAGGAGGAATTTTGAAGTGAAACCTGTAAAAGTTCCTCCACGTGCCTGACTGCAAAGTGTCTCTGGTACGCAGCAGGGATAACGAGCCATGGAGCTGTCAGAGCCCAGCTTGGAAACACCTCGCCCGAGCACTCCCTATCAACAGAGTGACCTCCAGGGCATCACCAGAGGCTGAGACACGATCTGAAAGCAATAGAAAATGGCTCTAGGCTCCCAGACTGTTTGGCATGAAAGCCTGGGGTTTATGCAAGCAAAATGGGGTGATTTCAGAACCCACAGCCCTCCTCGTATGAGAATTGACTGCGAGGCTTGGGATAGGGGGCTGGCTTTGTGTAGAGACAAGGAGCAGATGCCTGAGAAAAGCTGTCACAAACCCACAGTGTGGTGTTGGGAGGGAGGGTAGAATGGTTCATTTTGGGTATGCCGTGATCCTTGCCAGGAAAAACAGTTTAATCACAGCTTTCTGGTTACTGAGTGATGGATGCTGCCCAGTCACCCTGCACCTCTGCTCAGAGCAGGTATTACAAGACGAGAAGGTATGAGCCTTCCCCAGGCTGTTAACCAGGCACGAGTGTTGCCATTGTCTCCTTCTCCATCTTCCCAAGGGCAAACTACAGGCCAGTTCCCAAGTCATAAGGATTTGGGAGCTGCCTACAAAGATAGCTACTCTGTGGCTCTCCTCTGCCTTTCCGTGCTCCCCTGAGCTGTTCAGAGAGAGAACCCCCAGAGAGCAGGGTTCAGGGGCTCCCTTTGAGACCTCTTATGCTCTGTGCCTGCTGACAGCAGCATGAGCAGGGGACTCCTGGGCGCTGCAAAACATCACCTATCATGGAGACATTTGCCCTGGGTGGAACAGCTAAGGCAGGTTCCCTGGTCTCGACTCTTGCCACTTGTTTTCAGACATCAAACTTAGCTGCAATCAGTGCAGCAGCCACAGGGAAGACCTCCTCAAGCCTCACTGTCTGTAAGGAAATGCCCAATTCCTTTTATAAAAAATTATTAATATCTGCTTGCTTTTCATTTCCGGTTTCTCAGAGTTCCTAGTCATCAGTGGCTTTGCAAATAGATGGGGCCACCATGTACATTTTTGTTTGAGTGCTATTCAAAGCCAAGACATGAATCCTCCGTGCGTGTGGGAGGGGTGGAGGGTGCTGAACAGCATATGGCGTGGAAGATAGAGCAGTACTAGTCTTCAGTGCGTTATCTCGCCTTTCATCCCGGGACATGGCTGCGCTCTGCAAAGAAGTCTCACGGAGCCCTCTTGAGGCAAGCGAGCATTACTGTCCGTATCTTCTGGATGAGGAAATCGAGGCTGCAAAGTGCCAGGCTGGAGACAAAATCCACTGGGTTTTACTGCTGTCCCGTAGCGGCAGGGCAAGAGATCAGGTATGCCATAGAAGCGCTTTGGTAGCACCCTTTGACGAGGCAGGAAGGTGATTTGTACTGCCGCAGTCCCGCATGCTGCCTCCAGACCTGTCCGTATCCAAATCCCCTCAAGGCTTCCATGTGTGTTTTTATGGGAATTTGAAGCTCACAGCAGTCTGCTCACGGTTACTCTGGCTCCTCTTGGTTAACATACCTGGCACTGCCCCATTTAATGCATGTAGCCCACGTAATACCCTTTCAGGCAAGGATCCTTCCTGTGGCTAGGGGCACAACCGCTGTAGCAGCTAACTGGTTCATGGGAAACATGAGGAGATGCTAGAACTTCTTTGCACAGAGCTGTCCTTTAGCAGTCCTGCTCTTCCCAGAGGCAGATTGAAGATTTCATGGCAGGAGATCCAGGTAGCAGGAGGCAGTTGATGACAGGAAACGAGTTTCTTTGGGACTTCAATCATTAGCGGCAATCGAATCCTCCCACACAGCGCATCCACGGGGTTAACAGCCAGCTCGGTCTCCAACTGCCACATTGTACATGGCTGGTAATTAGGAGGTTACAGGCTGCTGTTAGTTAGCAGCAGCACAACTTGTATTTCAAAGGTTAATTGACTGGTTTGGAGTTCCTTCCTCCCCGTCTTGTGCTTTATTTATTTATTTGTCTACCTCCAGCACGAATAAGCAATCCCACAGTTGAGGAAAGCCAAATACAAAGAAGGCAGCAATCCTTGCATTAATCTTCCAGGCAATTTCAATACACTGGATGATTTTGTTATGCATTCATTGCAGCTGACAATTCTCCAGAGTATCTGAGAATGTACCACAGCACTGCAGCAACCAAGCAGGAGCAGTGCACTCCAAAAACATGACCTCTGCCATGCCTTTGGGGTAGTGGGGAGAGACACCTGGCACAGGCAGGTCCTGTTCCAGGAGCTGTGTTTCCAAGTGCCTCTCTGCCAGTGAAAGCTGACACTTTATTGTCCCAGAGTCAGCTCCTGTGTGTGCTTCACTGGCTGGTCTGAAGAAATAATTGCAGCTTCTTTCGTCTGCCTTGATTCCCAGCTCCCTAATTGTCCGGTAGAAGGACAAGAGTCTGGTTCATTTGTCCAAGAGAGATGCTGACATTATCCCTGCAGAAGGGTGAGCTCTGAACTCAACCCTGAGAACCTCTGGTTTAAGTTGTGAGGAGAGACCCCCACCTGGCTTCCCAGAGGAATTTGCAGAAGTAGCTGTTGATACTTGTAATGATTCCACATAAAAGGCTCAATTTACATCAAATGGCACTTAGAAATGCTATTTTATACTCACTCCTCAGAAGAGAAGTACAAATTAGTATTTGTTCCAAGCTATTGCTGTTCAAAGAGCTTTTAATTGCTTTTCTGATCCCTCATCCATGGTATGTTTCATTCAGAGCAGCTGTCTTTAGGTTGGAGCTGACCTTGGTGGGCACCCAGTGGTCCATTGCTTATCACTGTATTGTGATAAGCAATGAGAAGAGAAGTACAAAAGAGAAGTATTAGTTTTGAGTAGCACATTTTATTATTCTGGTGTATAAGTAATTCTGTGTGATTTAAGGTAGCAACTAGCTTCTCTAGTGACGTTCTATTTTGTCAATTTTGGCTTGAAAAATCGGTTTGGCCTGGAAAGCTCAGCACTTACTCAGAAAGCAGAGGAGAATCTTTCAACAACATTTGAAGCAAATTGCTTAAATTCCTTTTGAGTTGTGAGTCAACAAAACATTATCCTGATCTGAGATTCTCACTTTCAGCTAGCAAAACTTGTTCACTCTTCCAGCTTTTGCATGGTCCAATTTTAAGAGCTCACATGCTGGCTGGACTTGAAGCAAACAGATTCCCCC